CTCAAAAATTTTTATATTTAAAAACGATCTTACCCCAAACCAAAATTATTTCATGTGCTATCTGTCCCTTTTAAATTTTTTTACCATTTCTTAATTTTAGTCCCTTATTTTTTTTTTCCTTTATTTAGCTTTATATAACTACCTTATTCATAATTACAAAAGTTTTAAAAAAATCAAGGTGCATTTCAGTTTTTAAAGTGTAATAAGTTCACATTTTGCCATTATTTTCCAAAGCTCATTTTTTGATTACCACTTTTTTTTCACCACAATTATATTAGTCCCTTTTATATTATAATTTTTTTTTTTATAATTCTACTTAAAGAATTACCTTTAAAAGACTATCCATCTATTCCCAACCCATTATTTTATCATCCTTTTTTTGTTCACCAAAATTATTTTAGTCCCTTTTATATTGTCCCTTTTTTTAGCTTTTAAAAAAATACCTTAGCTCATTATTTTTTACATTTGTTTTAAAAAATTCAGGTGCTATTTTTTAGCTTTGAATATTTACTTTTTTTAACTTAATTTTAATAAGATTCACACAAATCTTATGATTACAAACATTTATCCTGATACCAAACCCCTTATGAATGCTTAAATGAATCAAACGTTACTGTAATTACTACACAGCAGAACAATCAAAAACCTTCTCGAGCCAAAAACAAAAATAACTATTTTAACTACAATATCAATCTTTAAACAAGCATTATGATGACCTCATAGCATTACAAATTTCCCTTTCATCCAAAATGTCCACTTACACTAACTGAAACCTGCTAAAGCCTGAACTCGATGTCTAGCCATTCCCGGGTTTCACAGCCATTTCAAAACTGTAGGACAGACAAAGGGGGGTGGCACACTAAATTTTCCAGACCAATAGAATGTATCCTAATACTTGCCAAGGGATGAACTGGGGAAATAATAATAGCAAATTCAAATCCAATACCACAAAAACCCCACATTAAAACATCACAGAGTTCCCAAAAATTAGCCAATTTAGTCCAAAACCCAGGAAGTATGATACTGATCAGCAGAACAAAGACATTACTATCTCAGGTGACTTCAATATAAATCTCCTGCAAACCAGGACCCACACGTTACTAATTCACAAACACAATTTATAACTGCATGTTTTTACCAAAAAACAAAACCTACAAGAGTTCGGAGACTAGGTTTTCCCACTTGACCCCATCTGGACCAAACCATCCCCCTTTAAAATCAGGCTAATTTTCAGATAATACCCCAAAACCACTACCCTACTTTTTCCCCAAACAAAAATCTTAGAAATTACCCCAAGACACAAAAAAGTCACCTTCAGACTTCACAATAGGGACCATTAATAACTTTACAACAGCAGTAACAAACATTGACTGGCACACTGAGTAGAAACTATACAGTATTGACGAATGTCTTAATAATTTTCTGAAAAAGACCCAATACCTTATAAAAACACTGCCCAAAAAAACTAAACAGATGACGCAAGAGACTGAACAGTCCCCGGCTAACACCCAGCATTTTCAAAACCATAAATACAAAACACCGATATGGGAAAAAAAGACAGAAGGGGGCCATAACCAGAGACCAAACAAAAAGTTTCTTCAATCCCAACCAGCCGTAAGAAGGGCAAAAAAATTGTATTATGAGAAAAGATTTTCCCAAATTACGAGGGATAAAAAAAAGACCCGGAAAAACCCTATCAGAAATTTAAAAAAAAGTTCTTTTTGTTTCGGTAACCCCCCCCAAAAAAAAACAAAAAGGGTCATGAAATAGGAAAAATTAAAAAAAACAGAAAACCCCCCAAAACTCCACCAACATAAACAGCCAGCTCCGAAACCCTCTCCCCTATTTTAAAAAAACCCAAAAAAAACAAATTAAAACCCCACCCCAAAAAAGAAACTTACCTCATTGCAACCCTTTAAAACCATTTAAACCCCACCCCCCTACAGTTTCCAAAAAACAAAACCCCGACCCCTAAAGGGGGGGACCAAACAGATTTGGGAAAAAATATGGGGCCAAATTTATCCAATTTACACCCTCTCTAAAAATTTTCGAAAAAATTAATTTAAAAACAAATCTTTTCCCTACCTCATCCCCCCAAAAAAATAACCCCCTCCAAATTTTGGTTTCAGCCTAAAAAAAAATACTAATGTTGCTATTTTACCCCATGCTAAAAACACAATACACTGTTTTTAGAGAAAAAAAGTCCCACTGGGGATCTCTTTGGGCTTATTTAAAGTTTTTTGATACAGTTGACCATAAACTTGCTCCACTTTAAAAATTGCCCACATATGGTAAAAAGAAGGGCACCCCCTCAACACCTCAATTTCTTTACCTAAAGCAACAAAGCCAATATGTGTACGCAAAGGGGCAAGCCCCTTCCCGCACAACCCAATTACATTTGGTTTGTCCCACAGGGGGAAGTGCCCTTGGGCCCCCTCTTCTCTTTCTCGTTTACATAAATGACCTACCAAATGCTTCGCAATTCCCAAAACCCCACACTATTTTGCAGATGACACAAAAAAACGTCTTCTCTCACCCCCAGCCCCGTCCAACGCTAGCCAAAACTTTGAAATACCGAATTACAAAAAATATCTAAACCCGGGGTTGGGGGTAACAAACTTACACTAAACATTGACAAAAAAACTTAAATTTATTTTTGGGAACAAAAGCAACAAAGTCCCCCCTTTAAAATAATGAAAAACGGGTCACCCATTTTCCCAAAACTAAAAGAGGGGGAAAATTTCCCTTTGGAATCCACCTTGATAATAGACCCCAGATTTTTATAAATATACAAAATTTCTAAGAAAATTTCCAAAATGGGCAAAACTATGAAGATACGGTACCCATTTTCCCAGTCAGCCCTTTCCGGCCCTATATCACTTCTTATAAAACCCCCTTTTTCACCTTGGAAATTTTTGCTGGGGGGCCCCAACCCAAAAATTAAAACCCTCCAGAACCCCCTAATTAACCCCAAAAAAAGACTGGGAGGGGGGAAGATAACAAAAATTTCACTACAGGCAAACACACTCCACCAATTTTCAAAAAACTAACCTACTCACATAAAAAAACATCCATACTTATTATTGCACCTATTACATACATTAGAACACTTAACTCTGTATTAGCCCTCCCTCAAACATCTCCTTGCCAACCTCAACAGAACACATGACCATAAACAAGGCACATATCACTCTTTGATTTTCCTCGTGTCCATCTCACGCTATGCAAAAACTCAATGCACATAAAAGGCCCTAAAATCGGGAAATTCATTATCTGAAAATATAAAAGAAACACTACCTGTTTATAAATTCAAGTCTCTTCTCAAAGATCACTTACTCCCCCAAAACAAATAAATACTGAATAACTGAACCTTATAAATGGTATATCTTAAATGTTTCTCACAATTATATCACATAAATGTTAAACCTAAAACCCAATCTAACAGAATACTCCATTCGACTGAATGTACAGCAATGCATGCAACCATATGACCTGTCTTTGTAATACTCATTTGTGCTTTATAGTTATCTGTTTACAATAATGTCTTATCACTGATTTCATCATTGCTTAGTTAATCTTAAGTTAATTTTAAGCCAGCCCATAATGCTATGCATATAAGTGGCTTTGGCATGCTGCTCTTACCTGTATTTTTTTGTACCTATGTATGTATGCTCAAATTACTAAATAAATAAATAAATAAATAAATAGATAAGAGTAAGGTGATGAGTGCATCAACTGATTTAGATAAAATTGACTTTCACATTGGACAGAGGGAGTATGGAAGAAGTGAATGTTTTCAGATATTTGGGAGCTGACTTGTCAGCGGATGGGTTTATGAAGGATGAAGTTAACCATAGAATTGTTGAAGGAAAAAAAGGTGAATGGTGCGTTGAGGTATATGTGAAGACAAAAAAAAAACGTTATCTATGTAGGCAGAGAAGGGAATGTATGAAAGTATAGTGGTACCAACTCTCTTATATGGGTGTAAATGCTACAGCAAGGAGGTGGTTTGTGGCAGTGGAGACATCCTGTCTAAGGGCAGTGTGTGGTGTAAATATTATGCAGAAAATTCGGAATGTGGAAATTAGGAGAAGGTGTGGAGTTAATAAAAGTATTAGTCAGAGGGCTAAAGAGGGGTTGTTGAGGTGGTTTGGTCATTTAGAGAGAATGTATCTAAGTAGATTGACATGGAGAACGTATAAATCTGTAGGGGAAGGAAGGCGGGGTAGGGGTCGTCCTCAAAAAGGTTGGAGAGAGGAGGTAAAGGAGGTTTTGTGGGTGAGGGGCTTGGACTTCCAGCAAGCGTGCATGAGCGTGTTAGGAGTGAATAGAGACAAATGGTTTTTGGGACCTGACAAGCTGTTGGAGTGTGAGCAGGGTAATATTTAGTGAAGGGATTCATGGAAACCGTTTTTTTTTTATATAGCCAGAAATGGGAATGGGAAGTACAATGCCTGCACTTTAAAGGAGGGACTTGGGATATTGGCAGTTTGGAGGGATATGTCATATATCTTTATATATGCTTCTAAACTCTTGTATCTGGGCTCCTCTGCAAAAACAGTGATTTTGTATGAGTGAGGTAAAAGTGTTGAATGACGATGAAAGTATTTTCTTTTTGAGGATTTTCTTTATTTTTGGGTCACCCTGCGTCGGTGGGAGATGGCCGACTTGTTGAAAAAAAAAATTATATTTTTAATTTTTTAATACATCATTCATTGCCCACCAAGTCAGGGTGATATTTCATATGTAGTTCATACATTATGTACAGTGCATATAAGCAGTTGTCAATTTTTTCACTCTAAGGAAGCAATTTCAGAATCGTATGTGATCTCTGATCTTGATAGTTTAATGCTTTTTGTTGATACATTTTACTTTAATCTTGGTTTAAGCAGTTCTGTATTTTTTCTTTGAAATATTAAAAGTGGTTTATTCACTACAATTGATTATATTAATTATGCATCTCTACTTTCTGTGTGAATTGTTTTATGTATTTGTTAAAGGTACCTGTTGTTGGATACACACCACTTCCAGTCATTCTTTGCCTTTTCCATCGCCTTCTGACTATCTTCCATGAGCTGTGGAAAATTGAGGCTCGGGAAGCTGAAGTTATAATCCCACCTCGACTCTTCTATGATAGATCCATTAATTACTTTGATACACATCGGCTAGGTGGGCTTGAATCTCACCTAATGAAGACTCTGAAAAAGGAGTTGGCCAAAGCCCTCCCAGTCAGTCATGCAGATACTTCTAAGGTCAGAACAAGTTATTGTTAATCTGTATTTTGTAATACAAAGGGGAAAATGGGATTCCCAACTAAAGAGCAGATTTCATTCTTGGTGTTCGAGCTTACAATTTCTTAGTAACTCTGAGCTAATTTTTCTGTAAAAAAACAGCTATATGTAATTTAAATAATGTCTTGTGTAAACAGTAAAAAATTCTAATATGAAGATGGGATATAACTCTCAAAAGTATTTTGGTTGGGATAGTTGAAAATAATTGTTTTAGTCTCTTGACTCTGGCATCCTCATCGTTTATTTTTTTATTCTTAATTTCTTGTTCTATTTTCTTATTCTGTTTTCTCTTTGTTTTGGGTTTTATTTCTTTTCTTTTCTTCCACATATTCTTCTAATTCCATAATTGCTTTTACTTGTACATTTTGATTTTACAGGTAATAAGTGAATTAGACAATGCAACAGCTGGTGTCAGTTCTGCAGAAGATATGAAAATTATACACAACAACGAGCCCTCAACATCAGGTTGGTTTTCTTTTCTTCTTCCTGAGGACACCCTGAAAATACTGGAAGAGTTCCACACAATTGTGTTGTAACTGAAAAAAACCCACAGATATTAACTTAACCCTTTGACTGTCGCGGCCGTATATATACGTTTGTGAGGTACCATGTTTGACGTATATATACTCATAAATTCTAGCGGCTTCAAATCAGGCAGGAGAAAGCTAGTAGGCCCACATGTGAGAGAATGGGTCTGTGTGGTCAGTGTGCACCACATAAAAAAAATCCTGGAGCACTCAGTGCATAATGAGAAAAAAAAAACTCCGACCGTTTTTTTTAATTAAAATGCCGACTTTGTGGTCTATTTTCGTATAGTATTTGTGGTTGTATTCTCGTTTTCTTGGTCTCATTTGATAGAATGGAAACTATATTATAGAAATGGAGGTGATTTTGATTAATTTTACTATAAAAAGAACCTGGAAATGGAGCACAAAGTACAGGAAATGTTTGATTTTTGCCGATGTTCAAAAGTAAACAAATGATGTCATTGTCCAATAAATGTCCAAATAGCCATTCTAATACGCAGTCATGAATGGGTTGATGTAATTTTTACAATTATTACAGTATTGCAGTAGTCTGCATAACAGTAAATCTTCTATTTTTTGTTTGAATAAAATTTCAAAATAAAAAGCAAGAGTAATATCACAGGGACCTGGAGACATGACTGATGAACAAAGAAAATGTTATTTTAGAGCCAGGAATGTCTGCATTGTTCATTCTGGACCTTATTTTGAAATTGTCGTATTTTTTAATTTTCGTGAAATTGGCCAAATTGCAAATTTCTGACCATGTTATTGGGTAGTTGAAATCGGTAAATGGGCAGTTTCTTGTACTCAATCGATAGAAAAAATAGAGTTCTGAAGAAATAGTTATGAGTTTGGTTGACTGGAATAACGGAATTAGCCGAAAATAGGGCTCAAAGTGGGCGAAATTGCTGATTTTTAAATATCGCCGAAGTCGCTAACTTCGCGAGAGCGTAATTCCGTCAGTTTTCCATCAAATTTCGTTTTTTTGGTGTCTTTACAATCGGGAAAAGATTCTCTATCATTTCATAAGAAAAAATAATTTTTTTTTTTTCGAATATTTTGCGACACCAGAAGCAACTTCAGGATTTGGCCCTTCGACAGTCAAAGGGTTAAATTATGATACAAGTATAATACATGTACCACTACAAATTTTTTTTTTTTTTTAACTTTTGCAGGAGCAGTGTTGGGTAAGGCACTAGTGTCAGGAGAGAGTTCTATAGACAGTGGCATGAGAGTTGTCAACGTTACTCCTGGAGATATAGAAGACAAGCCTAGCCACAGTGGAAACTCCAGAATGATGCGTGATTCCCTCCTCCACCTACTTGATGGGATTATTCTGCTGTACCACATTGGTGCACACAAGCAGCTTGGGAAAGTGGCAGCACAGAGAGATTCCATGAATGATAATATAACACATGTCTTAGAAATTGATAAAAAATTAGAGTACTGCAGAGAAAAGGTAAAGAGTTCATCTTAAAAAAATTATTTTGTACCTTTTGTTAGAAGTGGAAATGTGATTTGTTAATCTGTGGTAACTATTTACTTAAATACTAGATACATAGAATCAAGGAGAAACTTTATAAATAAAGTGGAACCTTGGCGTATGAACTTAATCCGTTCCCTGACTTTGTTCGTATGCAGAGTCAATTTTCCTCATTTAAATTAACTGAAAAGCCATTAATCCGTTCCTGTGGAATTCCTGCTCTCAGAGGCAGGAAAAATACATTTCAATATATTGCTAATGTGAACTCTATGGCTTATTTATCTATCACAATTGATCTGATATGACATAATAAACAATAGAAATAACATCGATACCTGATATATACTCTAGAATTAATAAAATATGTCATTGTGTGGCAAGTGGAGGCAGCCATAACTGCTCTCGAATTGTTGTGGTATTCACTGACAGCCTTTTGAAGCCGTCTATTTTTTTTTTTTTTCAACAAGTCGGCCATCTCCCACCAAGGCAGGGTGACCCAAAAAGAAAGAAAATCTGTAAAAAGAAAATACTCTCATCATCATTCAACACTTTTACCTCACTCACACATAATCACTGTTTTTGCAGAGGTGCCCAGAATACAACAGCTCAGAAGCATATACATATAAAGATACACACCATATCCCTCCAAACTGCCAATATCCCGAACCCCTCCTTTAGAGTGCAGGCATTGTACTTCCCATTTCCAGGACTTAAGTCCTGCTATATAAAAATAACTGGTTTCCCTGAATCCCTTCATTAATATTACCCTGCTCACACTCCAACAGCTAGTCAGATCCCAAATACCATTCGTCTCCATTCACTATCGGACACACTCATTCATGCTTGCTGGAAGTCCAAGCCCCTCTCCCACAAAACCTCCCTTACCCCTTCCTTCCAACGTTTTTGACGACGACCCCTACCCCTCCTTCCTTCCCCTACAGATTTATACTCTTTCCATGTCATTCTACTTCGATCCATTCTCTCTAAATGACTAAACCACCTCAACAACCTCTCTTCAGCCCTCTGACTAATACTTTTATTAACTCCACACCTCCTAATTTCCACATTTCCACTTTCCTGTCCCTTAGACAGGACATCTCCACTGCCTCCAACCTCCTCCTCGCTGCAGCTTCACACCCATATAAGAGTGTTGGTACTACTATACTTTCATACATTCCCTTATTTGCCTCCATAGATAACATTTTTTTGTCTCCACATATACTGAAAACATTCATTTCTTCCATACTCCTCCTCCCCAATTTGATATCCAATTTTTTTTATCTAAATCATTTATGGATTTAGAAAAGGCATATGATAGAGTGGATAGAGGAGCAATGTGGCAGATGTTGCAAGTATATGGAATAGGTGGTAAGTTACTAAATGCTGTAAAGAGCTTTTATGAAGATAGTGAGGCTCAGGTTAGGGTATGTAGAAGAGAGGGAGAATACTTCCCGGTAAAAGTAGGTCTTAGACAGGGATGTGTAATGTCACCATGGTTGTTTAATATATTTATAGACGGGGTTGTAAAGGAAGTAAATGCTAGGGTGTTTGGGAGAGGGGTGGGATTAAATTATGGGGAATCAAATTCAAAATGGGAACTGACACAGTTACTTTTTGCTGATGATACTGTGCTTATGGGAGATTCTAAAGAAAAATTGCAAAGGTTAGTGGATAAGTTTGAGAATGTGTGTAAAGGTAGAAAGTTGAAAGTGAACATAGAAAAGAGTAAGGTGATGAGGGTATCAAATGATTTAGATAAAGAAAAATTGGATATCAAATTGGGGAGGAGGAGTATGGAAGAAGTGAATGTTTTCAGATACTTGGGAGTTGACGTGTCGGCGGATGGGTTTATGAAGGATGAGGTTAATCATAGAATTGATGAGGGAAAAAGAGTGAGTGGTGCGTTGAGGTATATGTGGAGTCAAAAAACGTTATCTATGGAGGCAAAGAAGGGAATGTATGAAAGTATAGTAGTACCAACACTCTTATATGGATGTGAAGCTTGGGTGGTAAATGCAGCAGCGAGGAGACGGTTGGAGGCAGTGGAGATGTCCTGTCTAAGGGCAATGTGTGGTGTAAATATTATGCAGAAAATTCAGAGTGTGGAAATTAGGAGAAGGTGTGGAGTTAATAAAAGCATTAGTCAGAGGGCAGAAGAGGGGTTGTTGAGGTGGTTTGGTCATTTAGAGAGAATGGATCAAAGTAGAATGACATGGAAAGCATATAAATCTATAGGGGAAGGAAGGAGGGGTAGGGGTCGTCCTCGAAAGGGTTGGAAAGAGGGGGTAAAGGAGGTTTTGTGGGCAAGGGGCTTGGACTTCCAGCAAGCGTGCATGAGCGTGTTAGATGGGAGTGAATGGAGACGAATGATACTTGGGACCTGACGATCTGTTGGAGTGTGAGCAGGGTAATATTTAGTGAAGGGATTCAGGGAAACAGGTTATTTTCATATAGTCGGACTTGAGTCCTGGAAATGGGAAGTACAATGCCTGCACTTTAAAGGAGGGGTTTGGGATATTGACAGTTTGGAGGGATATGTTGTGTATCTTTATACGTATATGCTTCTAAACTGTTGTATTCTGAGCACCTCTGCAAAAGCAGTGATAATGTGTGATTGTGGTGAAAGTGTTGAATGATGATGAAAGTATTTTCTTTTTGGGGATTTTCTTTCTTTTTTGGGTCACCCTGCCTCGGTGGGAGACAGCCGACTTGTTGGAAAAAAAAAAAAAAATTGATACCCTCATTACGTTACTCTTTTCTATGTTCACTTTCAACTTTCTACCTTTACACATACTCCCAAACTCGTCCACTAACCTTTGCAATTTTTCTTTAGAATCTCCCATAAGCACAGTATCATCAGCAAAAAGTAACTGTGTCAATTTCCATTTTGTATTTGATTCCCCATAATTTAATCCCACCCCTCTCCCGACCACCCTAGCATTTACTTCTTTTACAACCCCATCTATAAATATACAATCCCATCTATAAATATATTAAACTGCCATGGTGACATTACACATCCCTGTCTAAGACCTACTTTTACCGCGAAGTAGTCTCCCTCTCTTCTACACACCCTAACCTGAGCCTCACTATCCTCATAAAAACTCTTTACAGCATTTAGTAACTTACCACCTGTTTCATACTGTTCGCATATATGCTTCAATGTAAACACTTGATCTATACATCCCCTACCCACTCTAAAACCTCCTTGCTCATCCACAATCCTACATTCTGTCTTACCTCTAATTCTTTCAATTATGACCCAACTGTACACTTTCCTGGTATACTCAGTAAACTTACTCCTCTATAATTTTTACAATCTCTTTTGTCCCCCTTCCCTTTATATAAAGGGACTATACATGCTTTCTGCCAATTCCTAGGTACTTTCCCCTCTTTCATACATTTATTAAACAAAAATACCCACCACTCCAACACTATGTCTTCCCCTGCTTTTAACATTTCAGTCATGATCATGTCAGTTCCAGCGGCTTTACCCCCTTTCATTCTACGTAATGCCTCATGCACCTCCCCCATACTCACATCCTGTTCTTCTTCACGCCTAAAAGATGGTATACCTCCTTGGCCAGTGCATGAAATTACTGCCTCCCTTTCTTCTTCGACACTTAACCCTTTCAAGGTCCAGAGGCCAAATTTCAAAGTGTGCACCAGAGTCCAAGAATTTTCAAAAAAAAATTTTGTTATTTTTTCTTATGAAATGGTAGAGAATCTTTTTCTGAAGATAATAAAACAAAAAGTATGAAATTTGATGGAAAATTGGCGAAATTATGCTCTGGCGAATTTTGATGTGTCAGCCATATTTACGAGTCGGCGACTTTGCCGACTTTGCTCCCATTTTAGGCCAATTACATTATTCCAGTCGACCAAATTCTTAGTTATTTCACTGGTATTACTTCTATTCTTTCAATTGAGCACAAGAAATCGCCCACTCAACTGTTTCAACTACAAAATAAAGTGATTGGAAATTGGTAGTTTGGCCAATTTAATATTCCAATTTCAAAATAGGGTCCAGAATAAACAATGCAGGCATTCCTGGCACTAAACTAACATTTCCTCTGTTCATTAGTTATGTTTTTAGGCTTTACAAATGAATTCCATTTTGATTTTTTATTCACATAATGAATTTTTATTCAAACCAAAAAATAGAAGATTACTGTTATGCGATATTGTAATAATTGTATAAATATCATCACCACATTTGTGAATGTATATTAGACCCACCAGCTGGTGTGTATTAGACGTGTGAGGTCATTTGTTTAATCTTGAACATCGACAAAAATTTAACATTTCTGCTAATTTGAGCTCAATTTCAAGCCATTTCCATTACTAAAACCAATCAAAATCATCTCTACTTCTGTCATATATCTTCCATTCTATCAAATGAGACCAAGAAATTGCAAATATAACTATAAAAAACATATGAAAAAAACACTGCTGCAAAGTCGCTGTTTTAATCGAAAATCACAGTCTCAATTTTTTTCCTCTCATTATACACTGTGCTGCAGGATTTGTTTTATGTGGTGCACACATACCACATAGATGTATTCTCTCATATCTAGGCCCAAATTTTCCACTTACAGCTTATCAGAGTGAGCTGAGCTCATGGCATAGATCTACGGTGTGGACCCTGAACTTAAAGCCGTAGATCTATGGCACAGACCCTGAAAGTGTTCAAAGTTCCTCAAAATATTCTCGCCAGCTACTCAATACCTCCATCTCCCCATCTACTAACTCCCCTACTCTGTTTTTAACTGACAAATCCATTCGTTCCCTAGACTTTCTTAACTTGTTTAACTCCAATTTTTTTTTTTAATTTTCATTAAAATTTCTTGACAGTACTTCTCCCACTCTATCATCTCTCCTTTTGCACTCTCACCACTCTCTTCACCTTTCTTTTACTCTCCATATACTCTACTCTTCTTATATCACTTCTGCTTTGTAAAAGCATCTCATAAGCT